AACTATGTTACATTTTGTAGTGACCTATGCAATCAATGTTCCCCGTGAACTTTACTTTTTCTTAAATGATATTTTTTAAATAACATCCAGTGTTATCAGAACAACTATGTTACATTTTGTAGTGACCTATGCAATCAATGTTCCCCGTGAACTTTACTTTTTCTTAAATGATATTTTTTAAATAACATCCAGTGTTATCAGAACGAAATGTTTTCTTTTACCATMATTAAATGTATAAAACAAACTGAAAAAGAAAAAACACAGAGCTACTTCTTCCCCACTGCCCAATATGATCATTTGTCAACTCTTGTTACACCAGGCTGGGCAGCAACATTCAACAAAAATACTAGAATAATCTCTAAGCAAAAAAAAGAAATGCATTAACAATAACTTCCCTATTTTTAAAGCTCTTCCATTCATGTTTTAAAATAAAACATGGTTCCACAAAGGTCTCACRTCCCAAAGAATGATTTCTGGGAAGCCTCCTACAGAAATTCATCTTTTGACTTGTTATGTTTTCCCTTTCCAAAGACTTCCAAAAGGAAGTGAATGCTCTTTCACATTCCTTTCAATYATAATGCAGTCTCTCCTCTGATGAAATTGGACCTACTGGGGATACTTCCTTTTTAAAGGACTCCCTTCACCCAAAGGCTTTTGAAGCAGTCAGGTTACTAAACTGAAGAGTTTGGAAATCAAATTCAGAAGTTTCTGACGGAAATTTACTTTGTCTCCAAATCTCCTGAGTTGAATGCCAGACTCAAGTTCCACCTCTGAAAAGGAAAGGAAATCAAAATTAACACTGACAATAGTCTGGACTGTAAACTAGCAAGAGTTAACAGGACCATTCAGGTGACAAACTGAGCACCCACCCCAGGAAACAGTTCTTTAGCTTTATCTGTGGCTATTTTCTTTTTAGTTTTATTGATTTTTTAAATACAACACCAGAATGCATTATATATTTTTTAAAAATATTTATTCTTAAGTTTTAGGTGGACACAACATCTTCATTTTACATTTTTACATTTACATGGTGCTGAGGATCGAACCCAGTGCCTCATTCCTGCATGCTGGTGAGCACTCTACCCCTGAGCCACAACCCTAGCCCTACAATTCTTATTACACATAGAGAGTACAATTTTTCATATCTTTGTATATAGAGTATGTTCATGTCAATTCATGCCTTTATACATCTACTTTTTTGTTTGTTTGTTTTGTTTTTTGCATTATGTTTCTGTTTTCCTAATGTGAGAGTAACAACTTGGAATATGCGTGTAGACACTGACCCACTTCAACTCACAAAAATTGTTTAAGGTGAGAATACAGACAACTATCCTTTATCATTTCGAACTTGTGATCTTCTTGCTTCAGTCTCCCCACCCACTGGAATTACAAGCACATGTCACTGGTGCCCAGCTGAAATCTTTTTTTTTTTTTTAAGCATTCTGGATAAGGCAAGTATTTTCTTTCACATATAGAAATATTGCATATCAAATACCACAAATGGTGTCATTAGTCAGCCTCCAGCAGATTTAAGTGATGTCATCCTCTTTTCTCATTTAAAGAGAACATAAGTCAAATTCTAAATACTGTGTTTATTTTCAAATGGCAATATTTCAGAGCTCAAATTCCACTTCATTAGAAATCTTTTCCTCTAAAAAAACTGATATTTTCTTCTCATAAAATCTTATTCCAATATTAAGTCTACTTTAAAATAATTTGAAAATCTAAATTTAATCTAAACCAACCTTTTTTTTTTTTTTTTGAGGGGTACTTGGGATTGAACCCAGGGCACTTAACCACTGAGCCACATTCCCAGCTCTTTTTTTGTTTAGAGACAGGGCCCTGCCAAATTGCTGAGGCTGGTTTTGAACTCACAATCCTCCTGCCTTAACCTCCTGAGCCACTGCGATTACAGGCATGCGCCACTGTGCCCAGCCTAAATCAATTTCTTATAAATCCAATCTGTACCAGTCTGTTGCCTTTACAAAAAGTGAAGCAGAAAATAGTTTAATTCACATGTTTATTACTTTTTAGAATTGAGATACTGTAATTAGTCTGCTATAATAAAGAAAAATGATGCTTACATACAATCTAACTTCCAAGTAAACTTTTTACTGCCTAAAATTAACATTAAATCTAAACTGCTCACAATTTCAATTTTTTAATATTTCAAAGAGAAATCAGGKTTTTTTKTTGTTGTTGTTGTTCACTTTGGTTCATACTTTCTAAGACAATGACCAAACAGGGTAAGTGGCATACTCCTATAATCCCAGAGACTCGGGAGATTAGGCAGGAGGATCATAAATTTGAGGCCAGCCTCAGCAATTTAGTCAGGCCCTAAGTAACTAGGAAGACCTTGTCTCAAAAAAAAAAAAAAAAAAAAAATCAAAATAAAGTAAAATGTAAATATACTCTAAATATTTAAACCTAGATTTCAATGAACAAAAGTAGAATCTTTCTTAACTCCTACCAAGAGACCTAATAAATCTTCCAAGATGCCATTCTTCATGGGCTACAGAATCAAATGTTGAGAAGTATTTACATTTTAGTAAGTGGGATATGTTAACATATAGTTCTTTAAAAAACTACCATCCAGGGCTGGGGATGTAGCTCAGTGGTAGAATGTTTGCCTGGCATACTTGAGCCCTTGGTTCCCTTCCAGGCAAGGGGATTAAGAAAAATATCATCCAATACACAACTTTGGAAGTCCTCAATCTACCAGAAAAAAATCATCTTTTTCACAAGAAAAAAAAATGGAAATAGTTCTGTTATCTTTTTTAATTTTAAAATTGCTATTGCAGAGGCTGGGGTTGTGGCTCAGTGGCAGAGTGCTCGCCTAGCATGCATGAAGCACTGGGTTCAATCCTCAGCACCATATAAATATAAAAAATAAAGATATGGTGTCTACCTAAAACTAAAAAATAAATATTAAAAGAAAAATTGCTATTGCAGAATTACTGTCTTTTAGGGGGGATTTTCTGCTGTCTCTTGTTCTTAGGAATTAGAAGTCAATCCAGAGCATGTTATAGATAGGTTGTGTTTGAGAAACATGGTCAGAACTCTTTTGAGTATCACAGAAAAGGACAAAGCTTCTCCATCTCAAGAAAGGGCCAGAGAGAGCAGCCTGCTGCCAATTTAGCCATGGTCACATTTGCAATGTCCCACTTCCTCTGCATGCCCTACAATTGTCTGATGATAATAGCAGCGTGACCCATTGGGAATTCTAGCCCTAATAGCCCTCCTTTTTACAACCCTTTACAGCAGGTGATTGTTGCCTTTGATAAGATTTACAAGAAGCCTGGGATGAGATGGGGCTGGCAGACCTGAAAATCTGTGAAGGAGATGGGGGTTGGGGGTGGATGTATAAGACTGGAGACCAGCTCCTCCTCCCCTGCTATGCCCACCCCTTTCAATATGAATGGTTAAAATGTTAACTAAGGAGAAGACTCCCTAGGCTCCTCAACTCTGGAGTCAGTCCAGGTGGGACAGTATCCAGCTTAAATATTACTTTTGTTCTTCTTCGGGTGGGGGCAGTGGCAAGATAAAGGTTTCCAGAGGTGGAGTCTGAATGAAAGGAGAGAGAAGGTAGCTTCCAGAGCCCTCTCCTGCTCAAGACAGTGACAGTCTTCTGGGCTGCCATTGCTGCTTGGGCTTGCACTTGTCTTCCCTGAGGCCCCTTAGCAGGGCGAGTGGAAGGAAGGGGAAAGCAGCTTGCTGGCCTGACTAAAACACAGCTGCAGCCACCTGTCATCCCAGCRACTGGCGAGGCTGAGGCAGGAGGATGGCAAGTTCAAGACCAGCCTCAGCAACTGAGACCCTGTCTCAAAAAATAAGCTGGGTTTTAAGACACGTGCCTGTAATCCCAGCAGCTCGGCAGGTTGAGGCAAAAGGATCAAAAACCAACCTCAGCAATTCCCTATCTCTAAATGCATCATGAAAAAGGGCTGGGGATGTGACTCAGTGGTTAAAGCATCCCTGAGTTCAATACCCAGCACTAAAAAATAAAAATAAAAATAAAAAGAACTAGGGATATGGCTCAGWGGTTAAGTGACTCTGGGTTCAATTCTTGGTACCAAATAAATAAATAAAAAGAGACCAGCCTCAGCAACTTAGTGAGAACCTGTCTCAAAATAAAAAATAAAAGGGGCTGGGAATGTGGCTCAGCACTCCTGGGTTAAATCCTCAGTACCAAAAATTTAAAGTTAAAAAAAAAAAAATACAACTCTGTCGGAATACCAAGCTAGGCTCCCTCCCTTGCTGTCCTGGGAGAACCCCCTGAAGAACTAAAGAGAAGCATCCCAAAGGCAGCTCAGAGGGGCAGACCTTGCTGGATCCTGACCCTGAGGTCCCTGAGGATCTTACAGTTTGAGGGCCGGGCCCCAAGTCTCCAAGGCCCCAGCTGACAGGTACCTGTTAATGCTGATGCTGGGGTCGCTGGGGTCGCTGGGGGCAGCTGCTCATTCTTCCACCCCTTCTTTCCAGGCATCTCCATAGGTGTGACCTCTGCTACAGAACCCAGAGAATTCAGTCTATTTTCAATTTTCCTGAGCTGAGTGACACACTCAACTTCCAGTTCTGAAAAGGAAAGCAAAACATGAAATTAACATTGACAGTTGTTAGACCAAAGGGTACCCAGAAAGTTAACAAAAGTGAGAAGTTGTACATCCCAAGAAGCATTTCTCTTCAATTTCCTTTATGTGCACCTGTCCCCCAAAATGTGAGAAAAACTTAGAACATACACACACACACACACACACACACACACACACACACTACACACTAACAGACGGTGGCTCTCAAACAAAAAAGTTTAGAATATACTTAACTTTCTAATCTTAAAAAAAAAAAAATCCAGGATGAGACAGTGTTATCTTACTTTCAGATTTGGAAATTTTGGCTCTGGCAGCCAACTGTGGTTATCCTTTTTGTCTCTCATTTAAAGTTGGCCAGAAAACACATATCATATTCAAAACAATTGCATTCTTTATAAATACATTTGTTTTTCAAATATTAATTATTTCATAGCTCATTATGCACTCTTTTAAAAACTCCTTGACATTTTCTCATAAAACACTTCAAAAAATCTTATTCCAAAATTCTGCCCACACTTGCTAAAATAATTTAAAATTTACCTGTTAACCTAAACCAGCGTCTTCCTAGAAGCTAATCTGTAACAATTCATTGCCTTTACTGGAAAGAATGAAGTAGAAAATAAGTTTAATTCACATGTTCACAACTTTTTAGATTTTAGGTGCTGTAATTAACTTATTTTCATAAAAAAAATTCTAGTAACAATTTCCAATTAAACTGCCATCAATAAAAATAACATAGTTATATTAACATATGATTTTGGAAGCCCTAAACTCATTGAGGAAAAATTATTCCTTTCACTGGATGGGGGTGGGGGACAAAAAAACTTTTCCCCCTTTTTWAAAAAAACTATTCTGGGATTATCCCAGGGCCTCTCCATACTAGGTCAGCACTCCCACCACTGAGTTAAACTCCCAGGCCTGTTTCCTACATTTTTTTTTTTTTTGTATTGCAGTTACACACCAATAAATTTATTAATATATTATTAGGCTAGAGAGAATTATTGTCGTCCCTTATTACTGAGAACTAGGTTAGTCTACCAYGAATTAGTTATATTTTTCAGAAACACGGTCAACACCACAAAAGGTGAGAAGACTTTTCTATCTCAAGGAAGATGCAAAGAGCAACCTAGTGACTGTKCGAACTTCGCCATGGTCACATTTGTATCACTTCCTCTTAATGCCCCACAGGTGCCATAAAATTAATGAAAATGGTGGCCTATAGCTGTCTGGTGTAATAGCAAGACGACCCTTATTGTTCTCCTTGTTACAACTCCTTAGTAGGTAACTGCCGCCTTTAGTAAAATTTATGAAGATTTATAAGTGGGGGAGGGGAGGGCCGATCCAAACAGGACCGGGCTGCAAGTGTTTGGCCAGACAGGGAGGGGGTTTGGGTACCCAGAAAGAGGGTCAACTCCTTCCTGCTCCCCCACCCCAACCCACTCCTTTCAATACCGATTGTTAAAACGTTAACTAACCCCCTAAGTTCCTTAGCTCTGATTCCTAGCAGGGCCTCCATCCATCCCCTGTCAGTCCTGAGTGGGACAGTGTCAACCTTAAACACTGCTTTTGTTCCTGCYGGGTGGGGACGGTGGGAACAGATGCTCTCAGAAGTGGGGTCCAGAGGAAGCGGGGCCATCTAGGGAGGCGGCGGGAGGCCTGGTGGCTCCCGGAGCCCTCTCCCGCCCTCGCTTGTCTTGACAATGACCTCCTTTGGGGCGCCGCCTACACTTGCACTTTTTCTCCCCGCGGCCCCGAGGAAGGCCAGGTGGAGAAAAGGGGAAACCAGAGTGGACGCAGCAGGTTGGCCTGGCTAAGATGCGGCCGCATCCCRATCCCAGGCTGGGCTCCCTCCCTCGCGGGTCCCGCTTTCTTGGAAGAAACGCCAGAAGAACTTCCCGGGGGGGAGGGGGGGTCCCGAGGGCACGTGCCAGGGCGCTGACATGGCCGGACCTTGGAGTCCCTGGCATTCTTCGCCCAGCCCCTGAGGGCACACCCGCCCCGACTTCGACCTCGACCCCAGCCCCGCCAGGGTCTCCGATTGCCCCAGCGGCTGGGTACCTGGCGCCCGTGCGGGGTTCCGTGGCGCGCGCTTACGCGCCTTCTTTCCAGGCATCTCCCCGAGCGCCGCCGCGATCTCCGCTGCAAACCCGGGGAACTCTGTCCCCCGACTCAGGAGCTCAGGCTTCCGCAGGACGCGAGCTGCACGCCGGGCCGGCCAGCGGGACAGGAACACCGGGCGCGCTGAGTTCCTGAGGGCACTCTGTGCCGGGATCCTCAGAGCTCCCGCGCGGAGGCCACTCGCGAGTCATAGGGGGAYTTCCCCGGTGACGTAACGATACTTGACGCGGGCCCGCCCCCGTCCCGCCTCTGCTCGTCCCCGCCGTTGCGGGAGCGCGCGCCATTCTGGAAAAGGGCTGCGGAGCGCAACTTGTCCGGACCCGCACCGGCGCCGACCCGGGGCGGGGGGCGCTGGGCTCCGGGCCCGGAGGGACCCCGCTCGGCCCCACAATTACTTCCTTTAAAAAGGGGATGGGAGAAAAAGGTCGGTTTTGAGAATCTACGAACACCCCAGGTAGAGACGGCTGCTGTCGACCGGGGCTAGGGGTGAAGAGAGAGGCCAGGGTTTCCTAGGAGGAAAGTTGGGGGTTGGGGAGAGGCCAGGCGCCTCCTCCTTATCATAAATTGGCAATTAGAGACTTATGTAATAACAAACCCCAGGAAGGGTTAGGACCAGGAAACTTAGAATTCAGCGTGGATAGTACCGGGGAAGTGAAAAGAAAACTTTACCAACAGTAGAAAAGGTGCCCGAAGCCAGGTGAAAAAAGTATCAGGTCCGAGAACAAAATAAAGCATTGGGAGTGTTGGGGAATTCTGCACACTGGAACCCCGCACGTGGTGCGTGCGTGAGAGGGGTGAGAGTGCGGGTAGGTGGTGGGAGGGGCCTGGTTCTCTGCCCCGGGTAGGAATATGAGTTTTAAAAGCTGTGCAACGTTCTCCTTGGATATGTCGGTATTGCATATTCCTGGATGTTCGGTGATAAAAAGAGTGGGTCATCATCGTAAGAAAACATTCAAATCTTTTGTAGAGGGAGGGATGAGATACCTGGAAACGTGATATTGCTATCACAGTATTTGATTGGTACCTGAATATTATTGTATAAAGGAGTGCTAGAGTTAGGAATAGTTAAGAGATACAATAGGGGGTCAGTTCTACTAAGAGCTTTGGCTTGCATTTTTTCTCATTCTGTCCCCCAAACAAGTATTGAAAGCTGTCCTTCTTAGCACCGTGGCCACTTAACAGGTGCAGAAACTATAGGTTTATCGATATTGAGTAAATTGCCCGAGCTTCACATGGGCAGAGAGTCATGTCCTGCCTGATCACACAGGGAGCAAGACCTCTTATCCAACTAGGCCTTCCTAGCAATCACAACCTCTTAGAAAATGAGTGTTTCTACATCAACTTAATTGAATGCAGAGCTTCCAAGTCGGTTGCATACAGCTGCGTGGACCTCCTAGAAGAGTTTGCTTTGGTTCACAGTGTTGCTCTGCAAAATGTCACAAGTAAAGGTTTGAATAGATTCCCAACTTAAAAATTGAATGACTGAACGAATTTTAAAAATGAAAGGCTGAATTAAAAACTCAGATGTCTGGCATCTTTAGGGAAACCAGAAGCTCTGACACTTTCATTTTGCAAAAAGTGCAGAGTAGGCTAGAAGTGGAAGTCACCCCCTTCAGAGGGACCTGGAGGCTCCCATTCACCAACATTCCCTGCTGTTTGCTTTTCTCATTTACATTATCTGGCCCCAGTAGGCATCTGAGCTTGTTTATTTATCTTAAATCATTCAATCAACACAAATCAGCAAATATTTATTTATTGCTTGACCCTGAATAAGGTATAGACAATATTATAAGCATAGGACAAAACTACTCTTGAGTTTAAACAACTTTGTTTTGAGGCTGATGTTGGGTGTTTTTGAGTATGGTAAATGCTAGGGACAAAAGCAGATCAAATTCAGGATGTGAATATCAACACGKGACGCAGGAAGCCAAATGGAGATGCTGCCCTAAAATCTGTTATCTTAAACCTAACTCAAAACCACTGTGACCCTCTGAAGGGTCATTTCTACTTCCTTAATTCATAAGAATAAAGTTGATTTCTTAATTGCATAAACTAGTAAACTTCTGTGCAAACCATGCATTCTGAAATGCAATGAATACACACATATAGGAGAAAAACAAATTATAACACTGTTTATCTACAAAGGGTGTGTCAATTCTGTCTTCTAACATTATCATTATAAAATGTTTTTGACCCATACAGGACATAAACTGTAGGCATTTCTACCTTTAAAAGAATTGCAAATTAAATTGGCTTGGAATAAGAAGTAGGGGAGCGGAGGGGAGGGGAGTCTCAGAAGTGTTTCAAAAGCAACTGATGGAGACACTTTGGGGAAAAAAATTCTTTCTGGAACTAACATTTTAATAAGGGAATTAGAAGAAGAGTGTGAAAACTGGTGAATCATTTAATGTTGGACTTGTAAGAAAAATAGGAATATTATGGCCACTGAGCTAACAAGACAATGATTAAAGATTTATCATGAGCTGGGCAGGGTGGTGCATGCCTGTAATCCCAGAGGCTTGRAAGACTTAGGAGGACTGCAAAGTCAAAACCAGCCTCAGCAATTTAGTGAGGCTCCTAGCAATTTAGCAAGACCCTGTCTCAAAAAGTGAAATGGGTTGGGGATGTGGCTCAGTGGTTAAATGCCCTGGATCAATGCCTGATCCAAAAAAAAAAAAAAAAAAAGATTTATCATGAAGCATTATAATTCCCCAAAATTTGTTTTTTTAAAAATTAGGACTGGTGAGGGTAACTATTTTAAAAAATATTACCAGAGGGCTAAGAATAAAGCTCAGTTAGTAGAGTGCTTGCCTTGCATGCACACGGCCCTGGGTTCAATCCCCGGCACCACAAAATAATAATAATAACAATAATAATTACCAGATAATTCATTTTCATGGACCAAGTTCAAAAATGACAGAGAAAGCATACCTATAATTCCAGTGGCTAAGGAGGCTGAGGCAGGTGGATTGCAAGTCTAAATCAGCCAGCCTCAGCAACTTAGCGGAAACCCTTTCTCAAAAAATTAAAAGGACTGTAGATGTGGCACAGTGTTTACGTGCCACTGGGTTCAATTTCCAGTACAAGAAAAGGAAGAAAGAAGAAAAAGACAGTAAAAATCTGGAAGATCTGGTAATCTGTGTTGTCATTTAGAGTGTTTGTTTAAAAAGGTGTCTGTAGATGCTGGGCGCAGTAGTGCCCCCCTGTAATCCCAGCAGCAGCTCGGGAGGTAGGAGGATGAGAGTTCAAAGCCAGTCTCAGCAACTTCGAGGTGCTAAGCAACTCAGTGAGACCCTGTCTCTAAATAAAATGCAAAATAGGGCTGAGGATGTGGCTCAGTGGTTGAGTGCCCCTGAGTTCATTCCCTAGTACCAAAAAAAAGGTGTCTGTAGATACATATGTGTGTGTTTAAACTGACAGCAATAAACATGATTAGTAATAGAACAGTCATCCATATATTTCAAGCAGAAAATAGGATTTGACAGCTGAACAAGAGGATATGAGAAATGCATAAAGGAGTATTTAGAGGAAGCATGTGATGAAACATACAAGCTGTAGACCTGATTCTGTTTGTTCCAATAAAAGGGACTTTTTTTTCTTCTTCTTGTGTAGCGTGTTTATTAACAGAAAATTCATCTGAATTTCCCGCTTTGATCAATTAAATCTCTGTTGCAGTTCAGACGCTGTGCTAGGCTATGGAAAGATAGAGACTCACAAATATCATGTGAAATAAGAGTCACTTGAGTTACCTGGTTAGAAAACACATCTGATGATGGAGCTCTGGCTGGATGTGAGATTCTGCAACTTTTACAAACTCTGGTGATTCTAGTCTGTGGACAAGGTTGAGCAGCAAGACTACAGCCTGTATGTTTTGTTACGGGGATAGTGACTGGCAGGTGCAGTAAGTTGTGCCAGGGAAATTGAGACAGATGACAGGACTGCTTGGGAAGGAAGCTAAGCAGCCAGAAGGGGCATCAGTATAGAGACCTAATACGTAAATGAAGGGTTGGCCCAGCAGTGAGGCCAAGGGGAAGAAGTGTGACTGTGCTGACCGTGTTGCTGCCTGAGGCTGGGAGTGATGCCACCAGGGGAATTTCGGTTTTATTGTGGGGACTCCGCAGGAACCACTGAATGTTTGAAGCAGATGATCAGATTCTAGGAAGCTCACTCTGGCCACAGTGTGACTAGCTTGGTTGTGGTAAGACCTGAGACTAACTTGCAAAGGTATATGACAATTTTCATACAAGAGGGTAGTGCCAACAAAGACGGTCACCATTTCAACGTGTTTTATTAAAATTCCTCATATTTCCTCATCCAGGTAGCACATGTCTGGTTCCCCCCTCCCCCGCCCCCAGCTTAAATGAACATTTTATCCTGTACTAGCATCCTAGGGCTGTGGTAAGAAATTCCCACAAACTGGGTGGTTTAAAACAACAGGGAGAAAAAAAAAATTCTCTTGCGGTTCTAGAAGAGATCAGTCCAACATGGAGATGTTGGCAGGTTCTCATGCTCTCTCTGAAGTCCCCTGGGAAGGAATCCTCCCTTCCCTGTCTTTTGGTGGTTGCCTGCAATCCTTGAATTCCTTGGCTTGGAGATGAAACACTGCAGTGTCTGCCTCAGCTTTATGTGGGTCCAAATAAATTTCCCTCTTCTTATAAAGACATTAGTCATTAGCTTAGGGCTGGGTTAGGGCCTACCCCAGACCAAAATGACATCATTTTTACTTTTTTATTTTATTTTATTTTATTTATTTTGGGTACTGGGGATGGAACCCAAGGGCGCTTTTATCACTGAGCTATTATTCCCCATCCCTTTTATTTTTTTTTTTTTTATTTTGAGACAGGGTCTCACTAAATTGCCCAAGCTGGCCTTAAACTTGTGATCCTCCTGCCTTAACTTCCTGAGTCACTGGGATTACAGATGTGTGCCCCTGCACCTGTTTTCCACCCCTCCCCACACCTGGTTTTTGAGTCTCCTTTATTCTCAGCACCTTAA